TATACATGTACATATCACTAATGTGGACCGTGGATTGTTGAGTGATAATGAGTATAAGTGAGTGTCTGTAGTGTGGGTGTAAGTGTGTAGGGATGAGTGGGATTTTGTGTTTGTGTTGTATGGAAGTGTGGTGTTATGTAGATAATGGTGACGTGTGTTTGTATGTGAGGGTTATTCTATGCGATGTATGTCAGTAATTCTTCCGTTTTTTTATAGTCTTTATTTTGGAGCCAGTTAGTCAGGCTGGTTTTAAGTTTGTGTCTGCTTAGTCCAGCGATATTCAGTTTCTTGTGGATGTCGTTGTATAATTTAATGCTCATATTTTTAAATTGTCTTCTGGCAAAGGAGGTCTTACAGAGAGTGCGTGGGCATACAGACTTCCCGTTACGTTTGCCTGGATCGGGACGGGGGATGCTTCGGTGTCTTCTCATGGTGGACTTGAGCACAAAGAGCTGTCGAACTGTTAAGACCTTGCAGTCTGAATAAAGTTTTTCGGTGGAGTATCTATAAGGCTTTTTGGTCATTACTTTGAGCACAGCTCTCTGTGCTCTTTCCAGTCTGAGAAGGAGCGTCTTGCCAGCGCCACCCCAAACCGGAATGCAATACTGAATAATGGACTGACAAAGGGCCAGATAGATGAGTTTTAGTTTCTCAAATGGAACACAGTCTCTGAGTGTTTTAAATATATGTATAAGTCTCCTCACTCTGGAGGTGACTGTGTCTATCTGCTTGTCCCACCTCAGTCCACCATCAATATATACACCTAGGTACTTGACATGCTCGGCTCGTTCGATTTGTTGGCATGTACAGACTTCCCGAAGAGAGCAATTATGGGCTATGATAGAGAAGTTTTGTGGTGGGGAATTAGTTTTCCTGATCGAGAAGGCAACATAGTGTGTTTTGGAGAGGTTTAACGTCAGCAGGTTGTTTGAAAGCCAGTTCATGATTTTAGATAGGGAATATTCGGCTATCTCCTTTACGGCATTCCAGTTCGGACCCCAGACGAAGATTGCTGTATCGTCTGCATACGTAAAGATGTTAGTGTTTGGAAGAGAGATTCGACAGAGATCATTTATGTAGAGTTGAAAAATGGTTGGGCTTAAAATACTCCCCTGTGGAACACCGTACGACACTGTAACCTCATCGCTATTCATACTACCTACTTTAACTTGTTGTTTTCTATTGGATAAGTAGTCCTTAAGTATATTGAATGCATTACCTCGTATGCCTAGTTTTTCCAACTTGGCAAGGAGGATGGGAACAGAGACCGTGTCAAATGCTTTAGAGAGATCCAGGAAGATACATAAGCATTTGTTTTTAGTGTCCAAGTTTTTAGCAATTTCTGTTGTCAAGTCAATTACGGCATCCTCGGTAGAGTAACCAGAGCGAAAACCGTATTGATTCTTAGCTAATATTTTAAATTTCTCCAAAAATCCCTTGAGTGACTGATTTAGAATTTTCTCAAGAATTTTCGAGATGCAGGAAAGAACCGCAATAGGGCGATAATTGTTGACACAGTCTCTGTCCCCATTCTTGTAAATCGGGTGTACTATCGCTTTTTTGAGCATTTCTGGAAAAACTCCTGAGCTTATTGCGAGGTTACAAATATGGGTGAGGGGAGGTATTAGGGTGTGACGACAAAATTTTATTATTTGTGATGAGATCCCGTCCCATCCCGTGGCACAATCAGAGCGTAGTTGCATTATTATGAGTTCAATATCCGACTCTTCTACTTCTAAAAGAGCTATTGAATTAGTCGGGCTATTTAGAGAGGCCAGATTTTTAGGACTTAGTGTTTCTGGATTGTTGCTTTGGGCGGGTGTGGAGGCGAGTATTTTGTCTGCCAGGTTTTTTCCTATGCTAGCGAAAAAACCGCAAACGTGATTCACAGATGTTTTGGGGTCATTGTGTGATTGAAGGAGTTCTGTGGCATTAACTTTAACTTTTTGAGTGTTTGTTATATTTTTAATTGCTGTCCAGAGGGCTTTTGTATCATTACCAGCTTTGTCAATTAGGCTTTTTTCGTAAGTAGTCTTTAGTTTACGTAGAAGGCTGTTGCAAAAATTTCTGTACCGCGTGTAGATTAATTTAGTGGTCATGTTGTCTGGCGATTTTTTGGCTTTGCTATGCAGTCTATCTCGATGCTTCATGCAACGGAGTAATCCTGGTGATATCCACGGCTTTAAGATTCTGCATTTTCTAGTTACTGTGACGGTTTTAGTATTATCCCGTATGACATTTGAGATGGTAGTTATAAGTGTGTTGGTAGCTAGGTTTGCATCATTAGTTTTAAACACGTTTGTAAAATCGGCGCTCTCTAGATCTGTTTTTATTTTGTCGTAGTTTAAAAGAGTTTTAGTTGTATCCGGTTTACGGGAAGAGGTATTTGTTTCTATGGATAGGATTATTGGCAAATGATCTGTTACGTGGGATTCAAGTACTAGAGTTTTAGCGAACAAATTAGGTTTTGTGAGAAAATGGTCTAGGCAAGTTGTTTTTCTCGTGGGGAAGGTGTGGGTTGGGAAAAGTCCGTGGGTCGCATTGAAGGTCAAATATTCATCACGTAGGGGGTCGGAGCTGTTAGTACATATGTCGATGTTAATGTCGCCAACTACGACTATATCGGTGGGTAGGCTGTCGTACACTTCGGATAGGCTACTTACAAAGTTGTTGAAGTTTTCTCGGGTCTTTAGAGAAGGTGAACGATATACAGCCACGATTGAAATTTTTTGTTCTATTTGACAAATCAAACAACTTGCGTCTTTAAAAGTTGGTTCGCGCATTTTACATGACAGGTTTGTTTTAGCGTAGATAACGACACCGTCATTCTGATTGAGCGCGGAGTTTGTGGAGTAAGCAGTGTACCCCTCTAAAGTAGGTAAGTTAGCTATTCCGCGTAGCCAACATTCAGTCAGAATAACGACGTCGAATGTTAGATCGGTCATTGTTAGTAGTACTCGCAGTTGGTCAAAGTTCTTGTTAATGCTACGGATGTTAATATGAAATAATTTGATGGCATCGTTCGGTTGAGAAAGGAATGATCTGCAGTCCTCCGGTCGACAGACATATGAGTTTGTGAGCTCAAGTGAGTCTAGTTCTGTGTTAATATTGTTAATGTTGGCCATTTATTATAAAGATAGATGTCAGGAGGTGCCATACGTCGCGATGATGGGGTAAATAGTTGTGATAGTGAGTGTAAGCCTAGAGTTGTGGTTGTATAGTATGTAGTTGTGTGAGTGTGATTTGTGTGGGTTGGTTGATCGTATGTAAGTTTAGTGGAAATGGTCCTTTTTACAATATTTTTATAAAACCTTTTACAAACAGTTTTGTTATGATTGTTTAATACATTAGTACGAGCGGCAACTATGGATATAAACTCGGTAATTAAAAATAGGGGATGACAGTATAGCAAAGTTAATAGTGTATGAATAATTAGTCACAAGTTTTTCTTCAGATCCATGAGACATTGTTCTGAGGAAATTAGTACTTGTTTATCCCCCTGTTCTTTGCGAAGGAAGATATTCCCATTGGAGGTCCAGCAGAATTTAAATTTGTTAAGTTTGGCGAATTCTCTGGCTGCGTGAAACAGTTTCTTAGAGCTCATGGGTAAATAGTCTGCAACAAACACTGGTTGTCGTTTCCCGGGGATGTCAATCAGCGTTGTGTTGAGTCTATCTTCCACAGTTTTGTGTTTATTATTAAATTCTCGAATAGCGGTCAAGGTATTCGACTTCATTTGGACGGTCTGGAACTCGACGACAATCGGACGGGTTGAGCCATCTTTGCCCGGCAAGCGATAAATGTCTCTTAAATCCGTGTCAGAGATTTTAATTCCAACAGCCTGTCCGATCCTGTTGATAGTGTTTGTGAGGTCATCGCTATTTTCTTTATCTTTCGGAGGGACATTTCTTACTTCAATGCAAGACGATCGCGATTTCAATTGTAAGTCTTGGATTTTCCGTTCTATTTTCTCCAAGCATTTCCGTTGTTCTTGCTTTTCTTTTTGTAAGGAATCTAAACCAGACTTTATATCCTCGTATTGCTTATTAATGAAGGTCATTGAGGTAGCTATTTCGTCGCTCGATTCTTTAATCTTAAAGGTTTGTGCTTTTAGCTCCGAAATTTCGGTGGAGAGTTGAGCGATAAGCGAATTCTGCTTGACACACATGTCATTGAATTTTGCATCAAGTTCAGATTTCCAACCGCTCAACAACCCCAAAACTTCATGCTTCAGATCTTGATCTTCACCTCCCGGCGATTGACTATGGCGCGGGCGCTTAACCCAAAAAATTAATGATCTATAGAAAGGATCACGTTGATTATTTTATTTAAAAGAAAACTAATTAATTGAAGATCTGAATACTTACTAAAAGCTGTTTTTTATTTGTCTTAGAAAGAACATACATAACATAACATCACGCCTTTTTATCCCCGAAGGGGTAGGCAGAGGTGCACGTTACGGCACTTAATGCCACTGCACAATGTAACACCCACTTTTCACTATTTATGTTATGAGTCCCATGTAATAGGGGGTGAGCCTATTGCCATATACCGGGCATAATTCCAGACTCCGTGCTACCACTGAGATTTTTGAAAAAATCCCAGTAATACTTTGCCCGACCCGGGAATCGAACCCGAGACCCCTTGCCCGCCAGTCGCACTTGCGACCATTTGGCCAACGAGGCAGTCATAGAAAGAAATAGCTTCATTGTCCATTTTATAGATCGAAAATAAATATAAAACACGCTTTTTACCCCCGAAGGGCTAGTCAGAGGTGCACATTACGGCACTTAATACGACTGTGCAATGTAACACCTACTTTTCACTATTTATGTTATGAGTCCCATGTAACGCAGGAATCGCACCCGAGAACCCATGCCCGGTAGTCGCACTTGCGACCACTCGGCCAATGAGGCAGACGAAAATAAATATCTGATTTTTTTCTTAATATTTTAATCACACACGTTACAATACTTCGTGTTTTAACTTTGTTGTTCCAGAGTATGAAAATGTTAGTTCAAGACTGGTCCCGTGTAGGACGAGTAATTTGGTGTAACGCACGGCCGGCGGTCAAAGAGCAACTGTCTGAAGTGCTTCCAGAACCTATATTCTGTGACAGCAACCAGTTGAAACCCTTCCTCAAAGGTGAGTAGAAATCGTTATACATGCATTTTTGATATTTATTTTACTGTTTAAGATAGTTTTCTTTGTTCAATATGAGTATTAGTACATACAGAATTTATGCAAGATATTATAGAAGATATAAGTACATTCAATATACATAATTATACTTATTTATTTGCTCAATTCAATCATGGTTTTTCCTTTAAAGTACTTCATTGATACCAAACAACTCATCATGTTACCTGTATTTCATTATTCAGCCGGAAGAATAACAAATCACAGTAAGAATTAAACATTATGGAAATTCTAATTAACATGCGCACTTGATCCCGATGTTGTATCCCGTGAGCGGTTAATATCACTAAAACAGTGTAGCATTTCAATAGAACGTCCAATATTAATCAGTTACGCATGAATTTCATCTAACAATTGAAACGCAGCGTTTCGAAATAATAACGCGTGTTACTCAATGAAATAAATGAAAATAGAAACGTTACGCTCTGGAATTACTTTCATAAAGATTGTAATATTACATTTCATTAGCGTATAAATTATTATTGTAGTTCTCAACTTGTGTTTTGTTCATGAACATTATTACTTACATTATTGTGTTTTTTTTTTCTAAGAAATGAAGCACGTAGCGTTCACTCAGTTGTCCACAGTCCTATCGTAAAAGTTAATGGGGAAACTTATGATATTTGTGCTTTGGAATGACGTCAAATGTAGGAACAGTTTTGTATGATATTAGGTACCTACCTGAATCTTTGGCGTCTTCCTATATATTCTAATTTCTTCTTGTGTAAAATGTGGACAACATTCTATGGGATTAGGTAGATGTTAAATTCAATAGTATACCGTATCGTCACAAACACAGACGAGTTTTGGTAAAAAGTCCATTACTCACACAGTCGGATAAAAAGAAGGATGATATAGAACTCGTTTGCCACAGAGTAAAACTTTTGAAAGCTCTATAAACATAACTCATTACTTGGCAGTTGAACGTGACATATTGATAGTACGGTATGGTTTATTAAGCATTATTGGAATCACGCCAATCGGTGGTTTAATATGCAATCAGAATAATTCGTTTGGCGGACAAATTATTTCGATTGCATCCCGCAATACAATGACGTTCAATTTTCAATTTAACATAATTGTTGCAGGTTCGACCGAGGAATCACAAACTATGAATAACGATACTACAGCGTTTTAATGTTTAGCATTAAGGAATCTTTTATGTGTTTTATGCAATCAAATTGTATAGTAGCGGCCAGTTCCAATACCCTATTTATCTCTACTAGAGATAGAATTTTGACACATTTTGTATGGATGGAGTTTATGTCATTGAAATCATTGAAACTGGCCGTAGACTTTTATAGACGGACAGATCGTATGTATATGAATATGATGAACTCAAATAGTAAAACGTTTTGCTCGACCAAAGGGTCTAGTGCAAGAATTTTTTACGTTAAGCGATCGTAACGTTACCGCGTATATATATCTGATTGATCGATTAACTTAAAACTTGTCAATCAGAGAACGTCACGTGTTGATCAGCGCGCTAGGCCCTCCATAGGGTTTTGGTGTGTATAAGAAATGTCGTGGATATTATATTATAGCGATATTAGATACATAAATACAAATAAAAAAATATAGTAATAAATGGTAGGTAAATAAAATGGTTTTATGAAATGGCAGTGTTAAAATTTTCCGCGGGACGGAAAATTTATAGTCTTAAGAAGTCGTTTGAAAATGAATTTAATTTATATATAGATCTTTTATTTATGTATAGATCTTATTGTGATGTTTTGATGATGTACGTAGCTGTACTATAAATAATTCAATTTTTAAATTGTTTAATTAGAACTATGAAAAATGGACCAATAAAATGTACACCTACGTCCTACTTGTGAATAAATACATTGATATTCAGTTTCAGTGAACTCTCTTCATAAATACAATACCAACTGTGATTAATTTTACCATTTAGATTTAGCTCTTAATGTAATTCGTATAAGGTGAACTGCTCAGTTACCTGATAAGTGTCAATCTTGAGTCAGTTAACTATTATGTATTGTAAATAATGTATGTACGTATGTGTATAATGATTATTGTTATTGCATATGTTGAGGTTCTAATAAACTAATAAAAACTATTTAAATATTATTGTTGTTTTATTATTCTATGATTCCTGCTTTGACTGGATCTGGATCTCTATATACCAAAATTTTGCCTTTCAACAACAAGCAACGAAGACATTGGGTTCTCATTTTTAAGTATGGAATGAGACCGAAGTCTTATAGTCAGCCAAATTCAATGATAAGTGAATAGGCGTGGATAGGTTGTAAACGCTCAGAAAGTGACACATTAAATCTGGACACACGCTACCTCTGAGTTGCATTGCGATGTCAACGTAAGTGCGTTAGTGCGCCATTTTTGAAGATCGAATGTAGTTTAGATACCGTAAAACAAGGTGAATACAATTCAAAGGGTGAATAGTGGTCGAACGTCGATATCAAAATAAATAAGTACAGGAATGGGGCGTATAGATGTTAGAACATTTTCCCAACATTAATTCACCCGTCCTCTGTATCCCTCGGATTTTCCGGCCCATAGTGCTGCTCGACGAGGTGGGGAAAGTCTTCGAAAGAATCATTTCGAACCGCCTCGTCGCGCACCTGACAGACATTGGGCCGGACATGTCGGACGGCCAGTTCGGCTTCCGCAGAGGGCGCTCCACGGTGGACGCCATCATGCGCGTTAGGGACCGGACGACGGGGACTGCAGTGTCCAGGGGTAAGGTCGTAGTGGCGGTGTCTCTGGACATCGCCAACGCCTTCAACTGCCTGCCTGCTGCATCCTGGAGGCACTCCGATATCATCGGGTGCCTACCTACCTCCGTCGTGTAATCGAGGCATACCTGACGGACAGGTCCGTCATTTACCCCGGTCACCGGGGCGAGTGGAACCGGCGAGAGATGTCACGCGGTGTTCCACAGGGTTCGGTTCTGGGGCCGCTCCTGTGGAACATCGGTTATGACTGGGTGCTGCGCACCGACCTCCCGAACGGCGTTAGCACAATATGCTACGCCGACGATACGCTGGTGCTAGCGCACGGGAGGTCACACCAGGCGGCGGCCGACTTAATGGCGACAGCGGTTGCGACAGTCGTTGAGAGAATCCGGCAGTTGGGACTCGAGGTGGCGCTCCACAAGTCCGAGGCCATGTGTTTTCATGGCCGCGGGAACGCGCCACCTCCGGGTGGGTCCCAAATAACGGCGGGAGGAGTTACCATCGGCGTCGAGACGACGATGAAGTACCTAGGACTCGTCCTCGACAGTCGGTGGAACTTCATTGAACACTTCCGACGTTTGGCTCCAAAGTTGGCGAGGACGGGGGCTGCGTTTAAACGCATCCTCCCCAACCTCGGGGGGCCAAACGCCTCCTGCCGGAGGTTATACGCCGGGGTCGTGCGGTCCATGGCCCTCTACGGCGCCCCTGTTTGGGCGCCAAACCTGTTGCGGCGTCCCGCTCGGACGCTGCTCATGGCACAGAGGGTCATGGCGATCCGAATGATCCGCGGATACCGCACGATCTCTGGGGAGTCGGCGAACCTCCTTGCCGGATTACCGCCGTGGGATCTGGAGGCGAAGGTGCTCGCGCGCGTGTACAGCATGCGCGCGGAGGCACGTCGCCGGGGCGAAACCCCGCTGCCGCGCCAGATAGGTGCGTGGCGGGATGAGCTCCGGCGCGATCTCATGGCGGAATGGCAGCAACGACTGTCGCAACCGAGGGCTGGGCTCGCTGCCATCGCAGCGGTAAGTCCCCTCTTTGAGGAGTGGCTTGAGAGACGCTACGGCGTCCTCACCTACCGCCTGACGCAGGTCCTCACCGGACATGGAAGTTTCGGGAGGTACCTGTGTCTGATGGGGCGGGAGGAAACGCCCGGGTGTCATCACTGCGAGGACCGCCCTGAGGACACGGTGGAACACACGGTGGGAGAATGCCCTTCGTGGGCTGAGCACCGCCGTGTCCTCAGGGAAGTGATCGGCGATGGCGACCTCTCGCGTCCGGGCCTAGTGCAGGCCATGATGCGGAGCGAGGGGGATTGGGATGCCGTCTCCTCCTTTTGCGAAGCAGTCATGCTAGCTAAGGAGGAGGCGGGACGCGTGAGGCAGCGAAGCGCTGCCTCCTCGCAACCCAGCCATCGCGAAGGACACACCGGGCGTCGGGGATCGCGGGACGATCTCCGGCCACCGTAAGCGCGGGCCTGCGGACGGCGAGCATGGGTGGCTCCCCGTCCGACCAGAAACAGACCCGAGCGTACGGCGCGTCGCGTTCCGCGCGCGCCTCAAAGAGCCATCAGACCACCACAGATGGGGCCCAATAGGGCCGATGCCGATTCGGAGTCGCGGAGAACCTAACGGGTAACCGGGGCTCCGGCTCGACGTGCAGGAGAAGGAACGGGGTGGTTTTTAGTCAGTAAGAGTCTGACACTCCCTCCCGCCTCACCCAGGCGGGAGCAGTCATTCGATGATTTTCCCCCCTTAAAAAAAAAAAAATCCCTCGGATTTTATTAACCCCGTTTTACTGTAACCTATCTATACCTTTTTAATTATAACGTCATTGTAGTCAGTAGTCATATTTACGATTGCTTATTGTTTTAAGCATAGAGTCTAAAATAAAACTAAGACAAGTGAAAACTAATAAGTACCTTCTATCTCCTCCAAAGATAACATTGGATTTTTGTTGGATTTAAGACTTACTCTCTAAGATTTTCTGGACACCACGATTATCTAGACACTACTGACAAACGGTGAAGAAAAACACTGTGAGGAAACCTAGGCATAATTATTATTTCTAATTATAAGTTTGTAATCGCCAACCCGCATTGAATAAGCGCGGTGATTAATGCTCAAACCTTCTCCGTGTGAGAAGAGGTTTTGCTCAGCAGTGGGCATGATGGATGGATGGCATGTGGATGATGATTAAAAGCTTCTATTTATTTGTTCTTCTATAAATATGTCACTATATCTACCATCTACTGCTGCGCGGTTTTAGCCGCTCTAATCATCTCTTATTGATCGTAGCTTGATATCGTTTTATTAATCGTAGTATAACGCCTTCTTTGATAAATAGGTTTTCGAATTTAAAAATAATTACTCAAATTGGACCAGTAGTTCCTGAGATGAGGGCGTTTAAACAAACAAAACCTCAGCTTTATATAATAAGTAAGTACGAATAATATAAGGTATGAATATTAATAGAATATTTTCACCCAACAATCAATGTAAGATGAAGATTAATAGAGGTATACTGCATTGCCCACAAAGTTGCATTGTCTGTGTAACCCTCCAGCAAATCACTGCACGTAATTGCAATGGTTCTGTTGTTTATTTATAATTAACTGTATAATATTAGATATTATTGTAGAATTACGAATATGCAAGCCCATGTTATTATAATTATTATATGCGCATGTAGTTTTGACGTCTGATAATAATAGGAATAATTTCCATAAATCATTGCTGGGTAAACAACCGAAAACGAATATAGAGTCAAATGTGTTCACATACATTTACTGTAAGTATATACATAAAACCGAACAATTTGTTTGTTTGAACGCGCCAGTCTCCGGAACTATTGGATCGAATGGAATAATTATTTTTGTGTTGGTTAGTCTATTTATCGAGAAACTAGAAAGGTACAAAAATAATATGAAACATCACGCTACCGTCAATAAGAGCCGAGCTACGGGCTAGCTGGCTAGTACATCTTACTAATATTATGAAATGATAATGATTGTGAGTTTGTCTGTGTGTTTGTTACTCGTTCACGTCAAAACGGCTGAAGGGATCGAGATGAAATTTGGAACAGGAATTACTAGAACACGACTACTTTTTATCCCACACGAACGCGGGCAAAGCCGTGAGCAGAAACTAATATTAAATATAAATAATCATGCATTTGTTATAACATAAATAAATCCTATAGTCTGTCATGAAAGATATAGACCAAGAGCTATGGACCTACATACACTATGTTTTGTTCATCTGGTTGACATATTTATGAAAGAAGTAAAACAGGCATATATATTTGTATGATTTGGATGATAAAATCGTCACACATAGATATGTAGCGGTACAAGTAAACAGTGTGGGTTCTCAGACTACTGTAATTTATTGTCAAATTGACTTGGTCTCATCAGGAAATGCGACCATTTAATGAAATACTTCGAGCATTTCATTACCTAGGCGAGCAAATCTACGATATGACCACTACGTAATATTATGACTACATATTTAAAAAAATGTAGGTATAAATGGATTCTAAGTATTATCACAAAGACTGCGTAACTAATGAACAATTAACCATTTATGATTTGAATGCTTATTATAAATTTAATACGTTTAAATATTACTAATCTTTTGATTTGACGATGAAGTTAGATTTACATACAACCGTAGGGTCAATTATAATGTACTAAGGAATACAGTGAAATGGCGTACATGGGCGTATATCCATTATATAGGGTCGTAAAATCTAAACGGTAGGTATTTGTTATTGCAATAAAACAAAAATTTAGTGACAATTATTGTTATTATTCATTGAAGTAAAGTAACTGTATCCATATCCATGCATAGTTTAATGAATTTTACTGCTCATTATAATAATCGGTTGTGCTCATTAGCGTCACCTGTGAGATAAGTCATTTGATTACCGGGGTCCTAAATACGAGTATATAAGAAACATGTTCTTGGTTGAAACTCACAGTGTACTAAAACTTTGTAGTAGTTGTACCTCACTACAAAGATGCGTTCCATCAATATTGTGTTGATACTCGCTGTGGTCGCAATAGTAAACGCGGCACCTGCGGATAAAGATAAAGTAAATGGTAAACCACATTACGATTTAGAAAAGTCTGCAGAATTGTTTGAGAAGTACGTCAAAGACTACAAAAAACAATACAAGGATGAAGCTGACAAAAAAGTGCATTACCTAGCATTTGTTGAGGCTTTAAAGGTAATCAATAAATATAATGCAGAGAGCGACAGTGCCGTATTCGATATTAATTATTTGGCTGACTATACCAAAGATGAGATGAATAAAATGCATGGATTAATCAGTAAGTACAGCAATTGTTCTTCTAGGTTTGGGTGTGATGTATGAATGACGTTTTGGGTTTTACAACGCACCCACGATACATAAGAAATCATAGCTTTTACTTATTGCTGCTACAGTTCTAAGACCATGCTTCGAGGATATTACAGAGCTTTAGATGTAACATTGGATTTAAACAAGGTGCAGATTGGGATTCTATTCAAAATTTTAAGCGTGTCACAAAAATATATAAGTAAGGTGTGTAACTTACCTTACTGCAATCAATTTAAATTTTGGTTCCTCGCCAACAATGAAGAGAAACGAACATATATGTGTTTATGATTTTTGACCAGACATCAGAACAATCCAAAATAACTGATGGCTAAATTACTGAGTACTTTAGTACACTAGTACCTTGTGTAGGTAGTATCTAGATTGGTACTGCGCTGATTGTCTTAAACTAATTTTAGTTTGATTTTCCCCTTTCCAGTTGGATTATACTAATACGCTATATTTGCCAACTGATGAAACATTACTAGAAAACTAGCTTATCGATGTGGGTTAAAACTTGATGATAAAGAATGCTATTTCAAATTTTATGTTTGTGTTCATTTCTTGACAAATCCTCATTATTGTTGTTTATATGATAGAAAACAGCGATTTACATAGGTATTAATTAAATGAACAACGAACCTCGCAGGACCGTATTGCATGCATCGTACCGTATGCAACTACTTTTGTTCCACGACTTTTCAAAATTCATGCACGTTAGAAGTAAAATAATAGGCTGACACTGATTTTAAATCAGAAACTTTGATTATAACAAATTCTTGTCAACTTACATCCTACAGGGAAAACCAAAAACTAAAAACAAAAAAGCAGTTAGTAGGTACATAGGTTATCCACTCACTAATAGGTTAGAAGTCGGCGCCATAGGTTCTAATCAAAATTATTCATTTAAACCTTAATTAGATACCTAATAAAGCTGTTTACAATTTTGTGACCATTAATTAAGTAACATGATTTTATTTGTCTATTAGTGGGTGGGTAACCTATTTGCTTTTTAGTTTTTGTTTGTTTTTCGTTTTTGGTTTTTTGACGTCGGTTTTTCAAACGCAGTTTTTATTTTTTATTTTATAAATTTTAGTGTGAAGCTACATAGACCCGTTTTCCCACTTATAATCCACATAGGCGCAAAGTTTAAATCTATACAAATTATAAAAGACCAAACATAAGGTAGGTAGTATAAACCGTTGAGGAGTTCCCTCGACTATCTGTCGGTTCCATCATCAAGTCAACTCCAGATTTAGACATTTTATGAATTTAGTTTTTAAAAATTCCTATTCAAAAACACAATAGACGCATTACTCGCCCCTACAATTTTCGGAAGTACCCTCGGTTTCCTTAGGATTCCATCATCAGATCCTGACCTGAAGAAAATAGGGACCCTTATTAGAAAACAGTTCATAAATGGCGGAGTTTTGTTGTGAAAAAAAAGAAAAAAAAAACGATCATCCGAACATGATATCTTCTCCTTTTTTTGAAGTCGATAAAAACTATCAGTTACGATGAAATTAATTGGCTTTTCTGAAGAATGAAGTTGAGATAAGAAGATTGATTTGAAATTGAATAAAAATAGTCATTAACACTTCTCCATATGCTATTGTTAATGAATTACATTTGATAAATGTATCAGAACCAAGAAGGTCGCTCTTCCACGTCTCTTCTATCATATATTGTTGTCAATGTTATGCTAATGCGATAAAATTTACTGATTGGATCCATATATTCACATAGAGGTTTTATTACATATTTCTCGTGTGGTTTATCATTCTAATGCTCATGTGGATTTGTTATGGGCATGGCTGTTAGCGTCGCCTGTATTACCAATATAGTAATCATTTAACCATCGATGACCTATACACGAGTATATAAGTGACATGTACTTGGATGGAACTCACAGCACACTAAAATTTTGTAGTAGTTTTACGCCACTACGAAGATGCGTCTCATACATATTGTGTTGGTACTCGTTGTGGTCGCAATTGTTAACGCGGCACCCGTGGATAAGGATAAAGTTACAGACAAAAATAAAGATAAAGTGAAAAGTAAAGCTAAAGATATAGTTAATGATACAGTTAATGATGATGTAGATAACGATGAACCCGCGGATAAAGATAAAGATAAAGTTACAGATAAAGATAAAGTTAAAAATAAAGTTAAAGATGAAGTTGATGATGATGAAGTTAATGAGAAACCACATTACGACATCAACAAAGCTCCAGAATTGTTTAAGAAGTACATTAAGGATTTCAATAAGCACTACAAGGATGAAGCTGATAAACAAGTGCACTACCTCGCATTTATTAAGTCTTTAAAGCAAATCAATGAATTTAATGCAATTAGCACTACAGGCACATTCGATATTAATTATTTAGCTGACTATACCAAAGAAGAGATGCAAAAGATGCACGGACTAATGAGTAAGTATCATTGTATAATAACTATCGTGAGACATGCTAAAGTAACTTTATTGAAAACTAGCTTCTGACAGCGGCTTCTCACGCTTTCTCGTGGGATAAAATGTAGCCTTTGTCTTTTTAACTGACTTCAAAAAAAGGAGGTTTTCAATTCGACCGTGTGATCTCCGATATCTCCGTTATTTATAAACCGATTTGGTCCGTTAATTATTTTTTTGTTAGAAAAGAGATAGTCCCAGAATGGTTCCATGATAATGAAATCAGGATCTGATGATGGAAGACCAGGGAAACCGAGGGGAACTTTTAAAAATTGTAGGGGTGACTAGTGCACTTGTTAATTTTTTATTAAGTATTCAAAACCACTACAATCTGATAAAGGTCTGAAGTCGATCTGATGATGGAGCCGAGAGCCAGTCGAGGGAACTCCTCAACGGTTAACAGTAGCTACCTTGTGTTTAGGTTTGATTAATTTGTATTAATGAGGGCTTTGTTTTGTTTGTTTCTTTTTTTAAACTTAGCCACACACTAGGATTTTCTCCTGTGTCGTGGGTGCGTTTACAAACATACAAGTTCACATCCACATTACACCCAGACCCGAAACAACAATTTGTGGAAAACACAAAGTGTTGTTCTTAAATTATCTTGTGTTTGGGTTTGATTAATTTGTATTGATGAGGACTTTACACCTGGGTGGGGTGTAATTGTCAATAAGGGTCTGATGACGAAGTAGTACGATAGTTGAGGGAACTCCTTAATGTTTAAGAGGGAACTCCTTAACGGTTACAAGTAGCAATGTTGTGTTTGGGTTTGATAATTTGTATTGATGGGGACTTTACAACTAGATGGGATGTAATTGTCATGAAGGGTCTGATGATGAAGTAGTACGACAGTTGAGGGAACTCCTCAATGTTTAAGAGTAGCCACCCGGTGTTTGAGCATGAATAATTTGTATTAATGAAAACTTTGCATCTATGTGGGTTGTGTATCATATAATATATCAAAGTACTAAACTAAAAAGAATAAAATAAAATCAAAAAATTGCGTTTAAAAAAACCGCCTTTAAAAACTAAAGACCAACAAAAAGTAAAAACTAAAAAGGAAATAAATAAATATTATTGGTCATACGTACTTATAGCTTACGCACCCACTGATAGGTTAGAAGGCGGTGCCACAAACCCATAACAATATATAAAGTAGTTAATGGTCACAGCTGGTATAATCCATAATAAAATTGTAAACACCTTAATAATGTTAGGTATCTACATCATTAGGTTTTAATGAATAATTTTGTTTAAACCTTGTGGCACCGACTTCTAACCTATCAGTGGGTGTGTAAGCTATAAATACGTATGACCAATAATAGTTATTTATTTCCTTTTTAGTTTTTACTTTTTATTTGTCTTTAGTTTTTGAAGGCGGTTTTTTTAAACGCAGTTTTTTCTCCAGACTTTAATCTACCATTGTTCCAAATTCCATCCCGATTCCATCAGCTAACATAAAAAAATAATAATATTAAGTAGGATAATTTACTCACGCTATAACTAATAAAGGCTTTACTTAGAGCTTTAGTTATGTCATTTCACGTGAGTCAATCGCACGAGTACTTACTAGTTTCAAATCATAATGGGACTCTGACTGTGGGCTGCACGATGTCGTCATCGTGTCTACCGCGTCACCTACGAAATTCCGTATAAAATGAGAAAAGAAATATACCCACATACCCATCTTGTATACCTACTGACTCTATTAAAGATTTTATTTTGTTTTTTTTTCCTTTCCAGTTCCAACACTAGCACCACCTGTAGGTCACTGATGGTACATACGAGAAAACGAACATACCGACTTGGATTAAAACTTGACAATAAAGAATAATATATCGCTTTCTGTATTTATGTTTATTTCTTAATAAATCTCCTTATGTTTGTATTGTAACTTTCGTGAGACATCAATACATAGTATAAAACAAAGTCGCTTTCGCTGTATGTCCGTATGTATGCTTAGATCTTTAAAACTACGCAACGGATTTTGATGCGGTTTTTTTTAATAGATAGAGTGATTCTTAAGGAAGGTTTGTATGTATAATACATGCATATTGCACCCGTGCGAAGCCGGGGCGGGTCGCTAGTACTAAATAAATGATTATGTTTTCGGTTTACTCACGTAGTAGAGGTAATTCGACAGTCGCCGCGTCGCGGGTCGCGAAATGCTGCTCATGAATATGAGCCTCTAGCATGGCTTGAAACTAGTCGAGTTCCTCGTTGAATTACTACGTGAGTAAGCCGAAAACATAATAAATCTCCTTACGGTTAGTATTTTATGGAATAAGGTAGTAAACGAGCGTCGAGCTGATGGATCACCTGATGGTAAGTGATTGGCACCATCCACGGACACCTAAAGCTCTAGGGAAGTTACAACAGGGCATCTTAAATAGGAATCGATTCACGAGAGTCTATTCTATTCAACTATTGTTGATTATATTGCTCATATAATAATAATCCTCCATGCTGGTTTCGGCTACGGCGACCGTTTCATGACGACTGGCGTCTTATAATGGGCTCTCATGTGGCTGGAAAATCTACTTTTGTTAATAAATATTCTTCCACAGAGTGGAATAGTATATAATATCGTGCGAATGGGGCCTAGGCAAATACTTATAATATTATGTACCTATATGTTTGTCGCAGATATAACTCAGTTTTGATTATGAATTAGAATCAATGCACCATTTCTTGCATCGTCGGTTTTCTTTATGGTCGGAGGTAGCACCATGTCCATGATACAGCAACCGCGTCATGACAATGGACTCAGCTACCTTTAGCGACCTACCGAATTTATCGATTCCATGATGTTATAACGTTGTCATCATTTTCGATTTTGTTTATAAAAGAGTATGGAGGTTGTCGATTTTGTGATCGATTGATTGGAGATTGTGAGATAGTACAAAGAGTGGTAAGTAGCATGGGCTACTTTTTCTAACCCCACATTCTCCTAAAATGGGGGTTGCAATTTTCCAATTTTCAAAGTAAAAATCTAAAAAGCTATACGGATAACGTGTGACCAGTAAAAAAATCGTGCCCCATTATCTGTTTATTTGTAAACCTCCTCTAACTCTTTAAAAGAGCGCAAGCAACAGCCGCGGACAGAAACTAGTTCATGAATAAAATATGTATAATCTGTTATCCTCAATTCGTATTTTTTTCTTTAACTCGTCAAGTACCGTCATTATAGACACAATTATAGAACAAATTCGTTCAGTACTTTTAGAGTTTATCCCGGTTATACATACAGACAAACAAAAAATATTCAAAAAACTATTTTATAGCTTTGATATCGATTTTAGATTTTAGATCACGCCCCAAGTGTTATAAAAAATAGTCAACGTACAGTTTTGTTTTTCCTCTGATTGTATATAGATGTGTTAACGAAGCGTGTAAGATTTGTTTGGAGTCAATAATTAAGATAATCAGAAGAATAAAAAAAAGGGAGCTTTGTAGGTGATTGACGAGTTTGCTGATTATACATTGGAGTTACTACTGTGTGATTTAAAGTATGTAACATGTTGCATGTACTTAAATATGGAGAAAGGTACGTTCAGAGAAGGATTTAATTAAAATGTATTTTTGCGTCTTTACCTTCAATAATTGAAACAACTTTAATACACAAAGATACATTTTTTCGATTGGTAGTATTGTTTCCACTATTTAACCATGAAATAAAGTATTGTACTACTAATGCATTTACTAACATACATAATTGATTTCCGTGCTTAGTATAAAACATAGGCACGTAATATTAGGACGCACACGGCGATTGTTTGTTGGTAAACTTAGAACAATATCATAAGCAATACGGAGCCAACAATATTTTATTAAACTGTCTTCTCACGCACGCAGTACATTGCAACTTTGAAACAACGAAACCAGTTCCCTGTCATGTTAACGATGCGTTTCGTCAGTGTCGTGTTAATTCTCGTCGTGGCCACAATGGCGAGCTCGGCGTCCACTTTAGACTTCAGTCTTCTCTCAAAGCACCCTTACGACATAGAAAAGGCTGATGAACTCTTCGAACTATTCATAAAAAAGTACCAAAAGTCGTACACGGACGAAGATGATAAACAAGCGCATTTCAAAGTGTTTGTCGAGAACTTGAAGAAGGTCAATCAGATGAACGAGGAGATCTTAAAGAACAACAATTCATAATTAGTAACTAATTTACAGATTACGCTAAGGAAGAAATGAAAAATATGTTTGGTTTAAGTTGTGAGTAGCCATGTTATATTACGTTAGAGTTTTGGTCGCTGCCTTGTGTTTATACTATATATTAAGCACGAATTCGAATTATATCGCTTTAATTAGAAGTGAACTCGATCGTGGTAGCCGTATCGAAAGTCTGAATAGGCAGTTACAGAATAGCCTAGTAGAAAGGCGTTTTGAACGACAAAAAAAATTGTCCTCTAGTGAAGCTATTTGCTAGTTCCAATGTGTAGATTCCCATGGAGACGAACGAACAAGAAACTCCACAGGTTACTCTTTTTCAATCGGGTTCACAATGCAATTCTTAGTTAAATTGTTTCCTTGATTTAATTCAGTATGTGTTTGGTTTCAAAAGTTAATTGTTAATGGATATTTATGCCGCCGAATGTAGTTGCAGATATCAAATTACTAAATGTGTTTTTTCTTTTCAGTGCCAGAACAGTAAACGAAGTAGGTACCTACATGAAGAAAACAAAAAATCTTTCAAGAAACCTTTTACTTTATATTTATAAAATAAATGTAGTTTCTTTCTATAACACATTTTCGTTTATTTTTATTCAAAAAATATATATTATTTGAGGGTTTCAATGATATTAGACCAGTATCTACTAGTAGGTGATATTGGCAGTGAAGTCGAAAATCCTTTAAATGTGTTTTCGATATGCTGCTGGCTAAACCGCGATCGGATCATACGACTGTGGTATGAATGAATAATTTGGTTAGTTGTGTCAAGATGCATATCAATCTAAAGAAGCGAAGTGATACTCGAAACTTCGACTAGGGAGCTATATTCGAATGTGTTTACTTTCGAAATAAGTTCTTTTCCTCATGTGAACTTCTATATTGAATTGAATCGTTCAACCAATTATTTTTAAATTAACATTTTCGAAACTATCCAAAGTATGCTACCACAGAGTATGAATTATGCAACAACTAGCTAATTGAACCTATCAGGCGCTGCATGTAGTAAAGATTCATGTGATGTTTCTATCAACGAGATTACTGAGCAAAAATACGTTATAGAGGAAAACCTGCAGTTTACATTATTAATAAAATTCACAATAAGGGCTTATGTGTTTGAGTTGTAAGAATGTATCGATCATCAGTAATTATTCAGTCTATTTTGGAATTACCTAGTCAAACATTTTGCATCAGGATATCCTCAAATCCGCAAATAGGACCTTTTTTTTGAATGGGGAAAATCATCCAATAACTTCTCCCGCGCGGGTGAGGCGGAAGGGAGTGTCAGACTCTTACTGACTAAAAACCACCCCGTTCCTGCTCTTGCCCTTCGAGCCGGAGCCCCGGCAACCCGTTAAGTCTTCCGCAAATAGGACCTAAGACTACACTACTATGATGCTGTCCACTACTGAACAAAGGTCTCCCACTTAGTTCTACACCTCGAATGACAACTCGCATCTTGAAATCTCTATATATATGTCGGAGAAACATTGTCATCGCCGACATCGTCATTAGCGATTGCGGGCTTAGTGATGAGCACAAAACACAATGATCACAATAAACACTATTAAAATAGTTTTTATATTTAGATGGTAGCAATAGTTTTATGTGTTTCACAATAACGCAAAAGAAAGTCGATAATTAGGACTGAGCAGCGAGTTCAGGGCACCGATCTTACAGTAAAATCATATAAACGATCCAACCCGACTGATTGCTAATTCATGCTCTTCCGCCAAAACTGTCTCTCTTTTTATCAGTGAGATGGCGCCTCGACACCGCTCGAGACGCGTGCTCTGTTCTGATTGGTCGTTACGTAGGAAGTCAAATTAGAATTATTAATAAATCAAATTAAGAATTTTAAGTGTGACAAATCAATTTAAATTAATTTAGGCATTTTAAAAAGTGAATATAATCAAACAAAAATTAATGTGCGTTATGCAATGCAACTCCCAGCTTCCTTCGACATATTATATAATTCACACAGTTCCATTTTTCTCTCTTATTAAATATAGCCTATGTTCATCATCGATAATGTAGGATACCAACGGTACAAGAATGTTTGAAATCGGTCCGGTAGTTGCGCAGGAGATGCCATTCATTCAAACAAACAAACAAAAAGTCAAATCTTTCCTCTTTATACTATTAGTGTAGAAAATCAATTGCTGTTCGTTAGTCTCGCTAAAACTTGAGAATGGTTGAATTGATTTGGCTAATTTTAGTCTTGAACTATTTGTGGAAGTCCAGGGAAGCTTTAAAAGGTGAGAAAATATTTCTTGAGGCGGTACGAAGTTTGGTAGGTCAGCTAGTAATCCTTACTATACTGTATACACTATACTATACTTACTATATTATATAATAATATATATATATATTATTAATATTAATTATATATATATATTATTATATAATATAGTTATATATATAGTATTATTAGTAAGGATAATATTATATTATATTAGTATTATAAATCTGAAAGTGAGTTTGTTTGTTTGTTTGTTCTGCTACTAGGGTACCTACTTCTTATCCCGGAAAAATGTGATATTCCCGAGGGAAAACAAAAATATTAGTATAGTTGGTGCTGTATGAATTCGTATAAGTATATGGCGCTGTATGCCATTTAAAACAATTCAACTAATTACCTACTAATTTGAAATTTCACGCTTTAATCTATAGC